ATGTGGACGTTGGTCAATTAAAAACATCAGCAAATCAAATTTACGCGCTTCACAACTTATAGCCTACTTGCGACAGTCAGAAATAACTTTATTTCCAAGCATGTCTCTCCGAGCAAGATCGCATTGTAGATCTTAATTTTTAATTAGAAGTATTAATTATAATGCAATATTGAAATGGAGACTTGTATTGTAATATTCAGTTTCGGCTAATAATCCCAGATATGTGTTCATGTTAAACATTTCTTTAATTGTGTGTGGGGTATCCGTGTCAGCAGTATGCAGTACACATATTAACGATTTCTATATATTGCTTATCCTGTGCAAAAAGACCATAACAATTATACAAATAGCATCCGAAAACGCTGCAAACGAGGTCATTAAAGGGATAGTTCACCCAAAAATGAAAATTTGATGTTTATCTGCTTATCCCCCCAGTTTCTTCAGTAAAACACAAACGAAACTGCAATGTCTGAACTGTCCTGAGTGCGTCCTCGACAGCCGGCGCTTGACACGTTTTCTTCTTCTTCTTGCTTTACGGAGGATCGCAGACTTATAAGTGCATTACCGCCACCTATCTCTGAAACGAACCACTGACACTCCTAATTGAGATTGTAGATAGAAGCCGTTTCTCAATATGCGTTCTTGTCTGTACTCGTGATCTCGTGGACTTGTGAAACGTCATCAGTCGTCACCCAAGTACTGTTCCAATTCAAAGTTCACATCTAGACAAGTACAGTTCAAATCCCGGATGTGTTCTTGCTCCGCCCCTTTTATCAAGGATCAGTGCTCATGTATCCCGCTGAGAGCAGCCTCACCCCGGCTAGTCCCTTCTGACATTTGCTGCTGGCTCTGATGTCTCTGTAGTGGTTAAACATGAGATATAATTCATTTGGGGTAAATCTAACAGGCAATCTTTGGTCTCATGAATCTATTATTTCTTCCAGGTCATATCGTTTTGGCTGAGCACAAAGTTATGTTTCATAAATTATTTATTTATCAATCGTAATACAGCACGGACTTGTTGCATACATTTGACTGAATTGTTTGCTTTTGTCTTACTTCCTATTACATAAGTCTCATACTTTATAGTTATACTTTTGTAATGGCTATTATTGTTCATTAAAACTGACATTTAACAAAAAAGGCAGAGTTGTGCTTGTCATATTTCATTTTATTATACATTCAGTGAAGATAATCAGAGTATGTGTGCACATATTACCTAAACCACATATTAATATGTTTTATATTTTTAAAATGAAAACGAAAAGGGTTTTGTTTTATATTTTGAAGAAAACGAAAAGGCAGTGGTGTTTGATATAATTTCGTTTTATTGTAATGCGTGTACGCGTTGCATGAACCACATTTTTTGTGGCTAATAATATTTTAAATGAAACAGAAAAGAGGCAATGCTGTTTGATATATTTCGTTTCACTGTAATGTATGTACGTTCCCCGAATTACATTTTTGCGGCTATTAATAGGCCTATGTTTAAAAGAAAACGAAAAGATGTAGTGGTGTTTGATATCATATTTCGTCGTATTGTATACATACAGTGAAGATAACCGGAGTGACTGACTGACGTTATCAAGTACTCTGCTGTTCCATTTGCAGAATTACCGAACTTGCGTCCTCAGGAGTTCGCACTTCCGAGTCGAACTTGCGAAGTCCAAACTACCGAGGACACAATTCCGAACTTTGCGTACTTGGTATTGAGAAATGGCCAGAGTGTCAATGGTCCATTTGAGAGATAGGTGGCGGTAATGCACTTATAAGTCTGCAATCCGCCGTAAGCAAGAAGACGACGCATCACGCGCAGGCTGTCGAGGACGGGCTCAGGACAGTTCAGACATTGCAGTGCATTAGCGGTAAAAAACGATATAAATACTGTTCAGTTTCTTGCACAGACCAATCGTTTCGTGTCTTTACACATCAGTGTATCGCCACAAACCACAGGGTTTAATTTGGTTTTGTTTGTGTATGTTTTTTTGACTCTCAAAGCCGTGATTCCCATTCACTTCCATTATATGACTGACAGACTGCAACGGTTTGAGTTAAAAATCTTCGTTTGTGTTTTACTGAAGAAACAAAGTCACCTACATCTTGGATGCCCTGGGGATAAGCAGATAAACATCAAATTTTCATTTTTGGGTGAACTATCCCTTTAAGGTTTTGGCTGTCAGTCAATGATGACCTCTGGTGGTTGGGAATCAAAATATTATCTATAGCCTAATATATAATTATATAAATATTTATATAACTATATATAATTTAAGGACATTTTAAATTTTGAACTAAACAATATACTACGTAGGCTACAATTAAAACAAAACATATTTACACTCTCTCCCTGACGTTCATGTAATGCACCACATCAGTGGATAATAAACAACTCCCTTGACTTGATCTGGTGTGTGTGACAAATGCAAAGATTTTTTTTCCCCATTCTGTTTATGCATGCACCCGAATGTGCCAATATATTCTCCAAAATGTATTGGAATGGTATAAATTAATTGATGCATTCATATGTCATATATGTGACTTATTCTAACTTTAATTTGCCTTTTTAAGAACTGTCCAGGGACAACAGATGAAATATTGGGCTTACAGTCCACTTTCTGATTATTAATGAGGACAATGTACAAAACTGTAATTGAGGTGGTAGCCTTTTAGAAGTACTTTGTAAAAAATTACTAATATGTAGGCCTACCTTGAAGGTACTAATATGTACCATTTAGGGGTAAATAAGGAACAAAGATGTACGTTTTAAAAAATGCCTATGTGTACTTTGTTTTTATGTAGCTAGAAGAAATCAAACGAACAACTATTTGTATCCATTCTTTTCATATTAACATACTGTTTTTACCTGCTTTTCTGATTTGTTCTGTTTATTCACATATGAGAGTGGAAACAGTAAATTCGGGATCGAAGAAAGTGTTATAGTTTTAGACTAGACAAACACTAGATGAGCTTCTCTGACCTGTATGAACTCAGGCTATAATAATTAGTGACACCATGTGGGATAATCTTCAACAAGTCAACAGATTCAGTCGTTATTATTGCTCGAACAAATCATTTTACGTAACTGAATAACTCACCGGTTGCTTAATCTGAATAATTACACAAACTTGCGTCGAAATGTTTCCCTCTGGCCTCCAAAAACCTCAACAATGCAGACTGTAATATCAATTATTATGGCATAACACAAAAATCCACGCAAGCGGAATCAAGACAAAACAACTAGCATTTATATCAATGAGTGAAATATTTATTTAAAAACTGAAAAATAAAACAAACCCACACACATAGTTTTAGTATATATCATACAAAGATATTCTCCAAAATGTTACTGAGCGGTCTTGTTTTTTTTCCATTAACAAAAGTGAGAGGCAGTTTAGAGGCTGGCTGAACTAGACTAGACAACCGAATCGAAACGGTGAAATAAACCATTACCGGAGGTGATGATGACACTCCAAAAAAACGGAAATTAAATACCCAGTGTCGCAACTTAACATAACAGCCAAAGCAGTGCAATGAGTGAAACAATATGAGGGCATTAAGACATAACAACAAAAGGGATATACAGTAACCTATATATCATATCTCAGTCACCCAGCATCCACCCAAACACACACACACGTTATATTAGTATTAAAGAACACACACGCGCGCGCGCACTCATGGTTTAGTCAACGCATGTTTATATTGAGTCTACGGGACCCTAAACTCAATCATTTTCTCTTTTGTAGTTACTGACTGGTAGTTTGTGGAGAAGTTGAGGTAACCCTGGTTTGTAGATGACTACAAGACTGCAAGTCCCTGCGAGCCCTGGTGAGAGCTGTGCTGCTGGCAGACAGTGGTGGTCTACAAGGCTATGTGGTCTACATTGCTTTGACAGAAGTGAACAGACTTCTTGAACCCAATACATTTTACTTAACATTCTTCATGCATCTCCATTTTGTGTGAATCTCATTTTGTAGATGACTACAAGACTGCAAGTCCCTGCGAGCCCTGGTGAGAGCTGTGCTGCTGGCAGACAGTGGTGGTCTACAAGGCTATGTGGTCTACATTGCTTTGACAGAAGTGAACAGCCTTCTTGAACCCAATACATTTTACTTAACATTCTTCATGCAACTCCATTTTGTGTGAATCTCATGAAAATGGTCAAGAAATGTCCAAAAATTCATTCTATTTTGCGTAAAGAAAATTAAGCATATATATATATATATATATATATATATGGCTTTTTACTGTTCCACCATGTTGACTTATAGGGACAAACTGCGAAATAGCTCATCTAACATATGATATTGTCCTGATGCGTTTCGCCAGTTTCAAGTCCATGACTGAATATGAACTGACTGTTTTTGTGAGACCTCACGTCGGGCTGGAGCTCATTGTTTTTGTTTTAATAGCTCTATTTAGGTCTTAGTTAGTTCAGCACAAATAGATATGGCACCATATTGTATTAGTAATGGTCCATAAAACGGTCCCGTACGGTTTACACGCTGTTAATACGACAGTATCTGTTAATTCCTGTTGTCTTCTTCCAGCTCCACATATGTGCACCCCTTCACACTGAGGCGAGGAGAGATGTCCGTGCCTTTCAAAAGGGAAAAAGGGTCACATTCCCTGAAAAAGACATTTAAAATCGTGATCTCAGTAGCATTAGGACAGTGTTTTAAAGTTGTAGTTTGGTATTGTGAACTGAGATCATGAAATCAGTAGAGTGTGGTGTGAGAACAGATGTAGCCATCCCTGTGTTCAACTCTGGTGTGTTTCATTTTGATTTTTGAGCTTCCCTTTTACAACTGGATATCTAAAAGAAAGAAGAAATGGTACGGAGCCCCTAAGGTTTAAATTATATAATTTTATTTATAGTAATATTTTAATTAAAATAAGCATATATATATATATATATATATATATATATATGTATATATATATATGAATATTTTAATTAAAATATTACTATAAATAAAATTATATAATTTAAACCTTAGGGGCTCCGTACCATTTCTTCTTTCTTTTAGATATCCAGTTGTAAAAGGGAAGCTCAAAAATCAAAATGAAACACACCAGAGTTGAACACAGGGATGGCTACATCTGTTCTCACACCACACTCTACTGATTTCATGATCTCAGTTCACAATACCAAACTACAACTTTAAAACACTGTCCTAATGCTACTGAGATCACGATTTTAAATGTCTTTTTCAGGGAATGTGACCCTTTTTCCCTTTTGAAAGGCACGGACATCTCTCCTCGCCTCAGTGTGAAGGGGTGCACATATGTGGAGCTGGAAGAAGACAACAGGAATTAACAGATACTGTCGTATTAACAGCGTGTAAACCGTACGGGACCGTTTTATGGACCATTACTAATACAATATGGTGCCATATCTATTTGTGCTGAACTAACTAAGACCTAAATAGAGCTATTAAAACAAAAACAATGAGCTCCAGCCCGACGTGAGGTCTCACAAAAACAGTCAGTTCATATTCAGTCATGGACTTGAAACTGGTGAAACGCATCAGGACACAGTTTTGTTGAAATATCATACGTTAGATGAGCTATTTAGCAGTTTGTCCCTATAAGTCAACATGGTGGAACAGTAAAAAGCCAGTGGATTAAATCTATTTAGGGTTTCTTATAAAGTGAATGCCTTGGGAACATAATCAAAGTAAAGCTTAACATAAAAAAAAAAAAACTAAATACAGAAAAAGTGAGTCTCGATTGAGTTTGCTAGTGTTTTCAGGTGTTAGTCCACAGTAGGTCATCAGCTATTATGTCCAAAGCACTCTTTTTAGTCCAGTGACCACTGCTAGGGGACTAGAGAAGGACGGACCCAGACGAGGGCAATCCTATGCGACATTAAGGAATGTGTTTGAGAGGTGGAAGTCACACACTGCTGCTGTTTGTAAAAGTTGAGTCCGGAAGAATCACAGCACAGTGTCATATCCTGCAAAATGGGACGACTCACCCTTGTGCAATGCATCATGGGATGTTTCACGGAGAGACGGGATTGTTCTAAATGGTCGGGGATGGGAAAGATTCTCCATTCCGTATGAGGAGGAAGAGGACTTGAAATACTCAGACAGTTCAGCGAGCCTACACTTCCCTTTCTGTCCACTAGGTGTCCCATCCACTTCCTTCTCTCCCTCCCCCTTAGTCACACAATACCATTACACTCCTCAAGTCTCCAGACTCCACAGGCTGGGGAGGGAGCAAGTTAGAAAAAAAGCACCTTTTATTTGGCTTTAATGTACAATAAAGAAATCAAAAGAATTAAAAAGTACAACAAAAAAGGGAGAAGGGAAAGATAGTGTGTGTATAAAGATGTCAAGCACCCCGTCTGTAGGGCTGCTGCACAGAACACGATGAGTCTCAACCCGTTCCTGCGGACAAACACAAAAGACAGACAGCGAATTACGTACGAGCAAACACAACACACCCTCTGCACCACTAATTAGCTTGATACTCCATTGTCAGCCCGACAAATCTCAATCCACTCCATTGGCTAGGGAATTCTGGGAAGATTTTTGAGGAGGAAGCAGTTTTGGCAGATGGTCAGACGGTATTGTGTTGTTGACAGACAGCTGTTTGTGGTGTTATTGGGGGTCTTACCCTCTTCCTCCCCTCCCCAGCCCTCTGCGACGCCAGCGAGCTCGTAATGCTTCTTCCTCAGTTCACCCAGTCGCTCCCTCTCTTTCTGCAGTCGGGTCTCCAGCTCCAGCACCAGCACCTGACACACGTTAAATGGTCAGATTTGTTCACATACTTGCACAAATACATGTGAAACAGATTAATACACTCTCACCTGTGCGTCCATCTCTTGCCTCTTGATCTGAGTGAGTGTCATTGCGGAAAAGTCCATAGTTTCTGAAACAGAGAGAATTTAGCATCGAAACTGAATTTTTATGGCTTTTAATTCATGTCTAACAGCTTTCAGACTATTGAGATGATTTTCTTGTTAGCAGGTGTTTTTGTCTAATAAAATTCTTTAGAATGAGAATATGTATATCTTTCGATTTTAAGAAGCAAATCATGATTTCACCAGGCTGTGATGTGAATTACAGGCTACCTGTTCTTAAAAAAAAGTTATATATATATATATATATTAGTTATTTATTTTTATTTATTATTATTATTCCTGTGATGCAAAGCTGAATTTTCAGCATCATCACTCCAGTCTTCAGTGTCACATGATCCTTCAGAAATCATTCTAATCTGCTGATTTGATGCTCAAGATGATTTTTTATCATCAATTTTGAAAACAGTTGTACTGTTTAATATTTCATTTATATAATATTAATTCGTGTCTGTAGAAACCCAGGATACATTTTTCTCGGATTTGAATGAATAGAAAGTTGAAAAGAGCATTTATATGAAATAAAAATCTTTTGTACCATTATGTTTTTACTGTCACTTTTTTATCAATTTAATGCATCCTTACTGAATATAAAAGGACACACAATGTCACTGACTCCATGTGACTGGTCAATGTTGTTTAAATGTCTTGCCTCCAGAGAAGAGGGTCAGCACAAGAGCTTGTGTGAAGGAGAGGCTAACTGTGTTGACTTGCTCATTCCTGTATCTCTGGAGGGCACCCTAAACCAGTTTTCATAGCTATAGTTAAATGTGAAATGGGGCAATGTGACTGTGGAGGTCAATGAGAAGTAAAATGAGGCTGCCGCCACTGTTACTACTTTCTTCAGGCTCTTATTTAATGAATAATGGAGAAATGACAAGAAATTATGGGGGAAACGTTGCAAGCATAATTCGAGCCTGAATTTCCCAAATGAGCAGCAAAGCTAAACGTGTCTGAGAATGTTGAGTCAGGAGGATGAGCTGAAAAGATTGTGCTGTAAACCTCACCTGTGTCCTCGATCTGAGACTTGCCAGACTTGGTTGATGCCACGACTCCCGCGGTGGCCTGGGTGACCCCTTTGGAGGCCTGCCGAAGACGGGAAAGGTTTGGACTGTCCTTGTCCGCTTTTACCTGAAGAGATAAAATGGATTATATATCTTCCTTGCCATCATAGGGCTTTAAAGTTAATTCAAGTGCCAATTTGTTGTTGTACCTTAGATGCTGCGACCAGCTGAGCCGTGCTGGCGGCGATCTCATGTGAACACACCATCAGCTCCTCAAACTTGCCCGTGCCTTGCACCACCTGATCAGCTGCATCACTGCAGAAAGAAAAAAAATCTTTACTGGAGGCAGCACAATGGTGATAGTTCATAGATCAACTAGTTTAGGATTAAAAACCGTAGGGCCCAATGATTTAAACAATGCGGAAAACGCAGGCTCCAGAATTGCAAAATCCAGTCGATAAAATGGAATTTACTGTATACTGTGAAATGTCACAGAATTGGGCAATTCCTGGACAAAATTGTTTATGCACTAATGTCCTTGATTATTAAATCGCAAAAAGAAATATAAAGTCTACATGTTCTATGCGACAGAGTGAATGAGCGGCAATTAATTAACATTTTTTTAAAGGAATTTCACACAATCGAGATATTTTTTTATCCCCATTTTAATTTATACAGTAAACATCTGTTGTGCAGCACTTCATTTGGCAAAAAATAAAAATGCAACGTTTTGTTATAAATGAATTTTTATATTTTCATTTGATTACAAGTTTTATGGATTGATTTGATTGGCACATTTTTTGATGATAAATTTGCTTAAAACATCTTAAAACATATCTATAAAATATATAAAAAGTAAAGAAGAATTTATAAAAAAAAAATAAAAAAGGGCCATGTAAAAAAATAAACCAATTTAATAGGGCCCTGTTATTAAAATTGTGATACATTTATTAAATTGTTCAACTTGTATGAATTCAATTTAATAGACATGCTTTTTAATGATTCAAATGTAATGAAACCATTAAAATGAAGAACACAGAATTTACGAAAAAATAAAAACAGAATTTATTAAAAAAAAACAGAAATAAATAAATAAAATGGAAACATAAAACTGATTTTATAGGGTCCTAAAACCTATAAGCTTTCTGTTACCCACTGAGATTTTTAATCACTATGTAACAGCATCCCCCAAAAATGACAAACATTGTTATTTTTTCACTGTCTAAAATACTCACACCAACATGGTTGCGCCCCAACCTACAGCCTTGGAGGCGGAAATCAGACCTTCTGTCCATCGGGAATTCTTAGCGTAGAACTCCTTCATAGATGCGGCCCCCTGTGAACACAGCAGCAACTTCATTAACACCTGTTTCTGCCAATTTAAGCTCGAGGTTTCCTAGAACTGCTAGATACGTTGACTCACCTTGCCGCTCTCCACGATGTCCCTCTGCAGGTCTTTGGAGGACAGCACCAGCACTTTGATGGCCTGCATGAGATCTGTGCAGGACGCCAAGATCCTGCAGGGGGCGACAGAGAGCAACATTTAAATACTCAGGCCTGTTTCGTATGCACTGGGGTGGGTCCGCTAATGCGTCTGGGTGAATGCAAACGTGCAGCGCTGTCCAAGTGAAATAAGCTCAGCATGGTGACATTTTGATCACTGAATACCCAAATCCACTGAGGAACATCAACCAAATCAAATCTGTAAAAGTGCTTTAGTAACTGTAACAGTAATCGTAAAAAACATTATTTATATGAAAAACACATGTGGCTCAGTCTGTCTGACCTTTCATTGACTTCCATTTTGATTCCAGTGTCAACCGCCCTGGACTTATTGAGCATTTCCTGTTTGAGAGCAAAGGGGAAAAACATTAGAGGAGTAGATTGGAGCGCTTCATGTTTTATTAAGCATCTGTCTGTAGGACAGGGAGAGCAGGGAGCCATCTGATTACCTCAATCCTGGCAGCGGCTGACTCCACAGCTGCCGATGTGGCTGCCATCTCCTGCTCCACCAGATCTCCCAGCTCCCCTTGCTGCAGCTCCAGGCCCCGAGGACGCAACTTCTGCTCCGAGAAAACAAAATAGCATACTACATCTATTTCTGCATTATGTAATATGCATACTCATGGAATACCTGGATGATACATTCTGAATGCTAAAATGTGCAGCATATAACCAGAGCACACTGTGATAAATCATCTGTGATATTAAAATCGCTTTCTTGACTCGGAGATTGATCGGAGTGCCAAATATTAAGGCATATTACACTTGACTTTCTATTTCTAATGTGAAAAATTAATCTGAATATCAGTTGCAAATTATTAAACCCCTCCTTCTTGACTCATCTGATCAGATGGCAACTTGGTGAATTAAGTATGCAATGTAGCATACTACTCTCAATGATGTTTATTGGTGTATAATGTTGTTAGCTAAAACTGTTACTAATTGTTTTTTGTTTTTTTTACTGAAATCACAAAATATTAAAGGAGTCATATGATGCAATTTCAATTTTTCCTTTCTCTCTGGAGTGTTACAAGCTCTTGGTGCATAAAGAAGATCTGTAAAGTTGCAAAGACTAAAGTCTCAAATCCAAAGAGATATTCTTTATAAAAGTTAAGAGTCAGCCACGCCTACCTAAAACGGCTCGTTCTAACACGCCCCCACATATCCACATGTGGGAAGATTTGCATAACGCCGCCCAAATGTTCACGCAAAGAAAGAAGGCGTAACTTTGATTCTCGCTGTTGTATTAACGAATGCCTCGTTTATAATGGGTTTTCATGTTTTTGAATCGTCGCTCCGGCCGGACAGGGCATCATCACAATATGGTAAGGGGCGTAACATTTCCGTCACACGCTTGAGGTATTCGGTCAATCATAACGCACTGGATAGCTGGCCAATCACAGCACACCTTGCTTTTCAGACCGATGAGCTTTCTAAAAATTGACGTGTTTCAGAAAGGCGGGGCATAGAGGAGAAACAATAATGTACAGTATGTGGAAAATAATGTGTTTTTTTAACCTTAAACTGCATAAACACATTTCACTACACCAAATACGCAAAATAATGTTCTTTTTAGCAACATCATATGACCCCTTTAAAATAATAGAAATGTTGCATTGGCAACTAACTGAAAATAATTTAAAGTACTTAAATTATTAATAAAATTAAGAAATATTTAAAAATAATAAAAATGACAAAAGCACAAAATTACTAAAACCAAAATTAAAAAGAAAACTGAAAATATAAAATCGAAAACTGGTAACACTACAGTATTTTACAGTGTCCTTGTTAGAAGCTACATGTACGTACTATAGTAATAACAATAAATTATGCATAATCATGCATAATAATTAGGGGTGCTCGGATCATGATTTTTGAGGCCGATCACCGATCGCGATCACAGAAAGCAGTATCTGCCGATACCGATCACCGATACCGATCTTTTTAAAGCCAAAAAGCCAAAAAGTACTGCAAACAATGTGCTGTCACTTTAATTCAGCGTGTATATCATGAGATCGGCCTTTTAGAGACCGCCGATCGAACATCCCAACGTGATTATCGGCCGATAATGATCGGTAGCCGATCAATCGGAGCACCCCTGATAATCATGCAATTAATTAATATTACTCAGAACTTAAATGTATAATTACACTGTAACAAGGACACTGCAAAAAAAAAAAAGTGTATCCTAAAAGCCAATTCACAATATGAATAAATACTATAATAATACATAAATAATACTAAAATAACACTGGGTATTACACGGAATATAACTTACGGTATGCAGTAAACATGAAATAAGTATTCCATTCTAGTTTTGGCCTAATTTAAATGACTCCGTAAGAAATAATAATTATTAAAATAATAATAATAAAAATTCTCTCCACCAATTACATGCTGCTTTTTTCAATCCACTGTGCTATTATATTAAAACAAGTACTGTCTCTCAGTGGCTCAACTCACCTCGCCCAAGGCCATCACGGTATCTAGTGCCGCCCTCAGCCGGCTGCAGTCTGCCGTCCCCATAGACTTCTGCTCCTTGAGCTGGCAGAGCAACGCCAAGGCCTCCGCACCACACGCCTTCACGTTGTCTGCCAATGCTGCCCACAGACAGATAAAGACAAAGACAGAAAGCAGAGAGCAGTCAGACGAGCCATCTGTCACCTGCAGACACTCCACATACGCTCGGCCAGACACACATTTCCTGCCATGTACGACTGTGACGTGATCACTCATGTGCGTGGGAACCGCATATTAGCCGCTTTGAGTTACGTCAAGTTCTTTTAAAGCAGCTCTACCGAAAACATTAGACCTCCGGCAAAGGAGTTATTAACAGAACCGCAGTGACACTAATGGCCTTCCTGATGTATGGAGAATCAAACAGAAAGTCATATTCTTGGACGTCTCTCTATATGTGGACACAGTGGTGCTGTAAAATATTAATCAGTTTAATAACAGAAATGACATTTATGCTGCCTATATCAAACGGATAGTTCTGGTTCTGGATGCCGATTGGTCGATACAGTGTCAATGAATGTGTCTTTCAGGAAGTATTTACATAGAGGTGCATCAGCTGTGCTGATATGATTACATAAGCTCTTTTGGATCTGTGGTGTTCGGGTGATTGACGTCTCGTGCTCACCGTCAGCTTGCTCCACCGGCACCATGTGGGAGGTGGCACTGCCCTGCACGATGACATCGCCCACCAGGTGAGCGAACTGAGTCACCGCCCGCACCAGTCCAGACACATCTATCACACACATACAGGGAAATCAGTGAGAAACATATGAGTGCCTCTCATCTCAATAGACTGAGTGTCAACAAAAGTGATGAAATGAAGCCTGCATGCATTCATGGTGAATCATTTTTGGTAATGGATTTTTAAAAGGTATATCCTTAGTTGAATTGTGTGTGTTTTTTTTTAACTTGTGCATTTTGAGTGAAGAACAGTGATGGAATAAAAAAAGTTTTCAATAGTGTTGAAGTAGCTCAGCTGGCTTTAAAATTGTGTAGATTTGACTCAGTACTGCGTTTTTCCAACATTTAGCAGAGTAGCATGACAAATCACTAAACTATGGATGTGTCATGATGTATTGTGCAGCCTTACTAGTAAGAGAGCTAAAGAAACAGCCTGACAGAATGCTCCCCCTTTGTCTCGAGTACCGTCATTTCAAAGTTGAATCAGATATGGTTTTAATATTTCAGTTTGTTCAGAAAGTTCAATTAAAAAAACTAGACTCCAAAATGAGTTAATCAATAAATTCTGTTCATGTTATTTTTTTTTGAGAAAAATGTTTTTTATATTTCTGTATATATATATATATTTTTTTTTTTTTTTTTTTTTTTTTTTTAACCCTCTAGGACTCTGTCACTTTTTGACAAATAAATTTGATATTTTAAAATTGTAAAAATCATAACTTA